CTGAAGATGCCGGCCACAGGTGCTGGCAAAACGTTAGGAAACAAAACTTCAAGAACACGGCCACACAGCCCAGAAGACCAGAAGACCCACACCAGCCAATTCTTCACTGTGTTGTAAGACACAGATGTATGCATCATTTCATCTACATCACATGAAAAAATACGATGGATAAATTCTAAAATTGTATGTGTTTATGCAGTGTTGATTATTGCATATCACACAGCCTGATTCATGTATAATATAGCTAAAAGTGTATATATCGAGAGAAAACTGTTCTGTGTTTTTAAAAAATGGCAAAATGTGGAAAAAAGGATAATGAAGTATTTTCTAATATTTTAGTTTAACGTAATCCACAAAATGTGAAAGAAATTGGTTTGGGGGGGGTGTACTGGATCAAAAAATAGATGAACATGTGAAAAGGAGAGAAGCTTATCCCAGTACAGGCAAATGCTGATTCTCTAAAATTCATGAACACGATAAAACTGTTAAACTAAAGGAGCTGATGAAGTTGATGCTTCTGCTTCAGATTAAAAGATAAATGAAATGAGACAAAATTTCATGTGGCAAAATTTCTAAGCCTTGATTCCAAGTCCCTCTAGTTTCCTTCTAATATATAGTAGAAGACTAAATGCACAATATAGAAGTTGATTTCTTCTGTTTTCAGGGTTAACGTTTCACCTTCTTGTTTCTCTTAAACAAGCTTCCATTTGTAAAATAGTTAAAAAACACTTTAAAGTATATTAAATCAAATTTCTATTCTCTAAATAAGATGGACATTTTAACTTTCTACTTATGCCAAAGGTATACTGTACATAATATATTTTAAAAAGTAACAGTGTCTTAATTTTCATGGTGTGCAAAATGTTTGGATTTACCTTGTCTTGAGTTCAAAATATATGTTTCATATTCAAAATTGGCTGATTCAGTCTTTATAGAAGTGTTTTGAGCTTGACACAGTTCTGTTTCAAAGATCAAGACACACTCAAAATGATGGAAATGTTCCACACCGAACATGAAAACATATTTCAAAACTTGAAACTGGTGTTTTAAGTTCAAATTTGGCACACTCCAATTTTTTTTTAAGCTATAAATGATTTTTAAAAGTAATTATTGCATATATTTCACATTTTCCCTTAATTTGCTTTTTTTCTGAAAGTTGGAATTTTCACTATTTTTTCCACTATTGCTACAAATTTTCTGGAAATTCATTATCTCTGATAGTCACATTCTATCAGATCCATTTATGATTTTCTGTCATGGTGTGTGAAGGCTGTTAACCAGAAATACATATATTGTCAGTGTTTGCTTAAAAATAATATAATTTAAAATAAATGCAAACAATCATGTATGAATATTTAATGTGCTTTTATCATAGGCTGGGTAAGCACACTGGTTGGTGGACAAAAAGAAGGTGCTCGAGGCTTCATGTTTTTTATCATTAATGTTGATCTTACTGAAGAAGGACTGTGTAAGTGGATCCCTTCAGTCATTTTGCTATGCTACGGCTCAAAGTATCATTTAAATAAGCTTCTCTTATAAGGCCTTTTATGTATCCCACAGAGAAAAATATTCTGTAGTAAAATTTAAAATTTTAATTGGCTTTAATCACATGCAGTTTCATAGGTACTATGGCAAGAAGGATTCTTCTTATTTTTTTAAATGCTGCTAACACTGTTCTATGCGCTTTTTTCTGATCCTACAAATGTGGTGATGATTCCCTGTGTTCTAAATACTGCTGGCAGTTGCCACCTAGAAAAACAGTTCTTGACAATCAAATTGGTTTGAAAACTGTCTGAAACTATGCTAAGATATCCTTTTTTCCCCTAATCAATCAATTAATCAAATCCATCACTCAGAGATCAACAATAACTGACCAGTGAATCTGAGTGATTGCAACTTTTGTATGTCAAAATGTTATAATGTGCATTGTTTCTCCACAATGTTATACTTATCTCTATATCTTACTGCTATGTACGTTAAAATAGTGCTTTTAGAAATCTATAATATTCATTTAACTCAAATGACTGAGTTGCAGGCTTGATGTGAAGACATTTTTCCAATTCCTGCCTCTAATAACAACTGCAGAGACATTATTTAGATAAGAAATAAGCAGCCAAAGAAAGGGCTAAGTGCCACTTCCCAGAGCATCCCTGATGCTAAAAGCAGTCATAAGAGCAGCTTGTTGAAATATAGTAACAACAACAGAGAGTTGTAATCCTAGAACTTTTATGACATTTTTGCTTTGACCAAACAAAACTAAAAATCTTGTATTTTTTTCTTGTATAGTACATGTGGAAGATATTATTTTGCATATGTTTCAATATATTCAAAAGCTACGCACAGAAGGACCTCAAGAATGGGTTTTTCAAGAATGTAAGGTAAGATATCTTTATGTAGTTATTTCCTATTAGTTTAAGGAGAATAACAAAAGTCTGTCATTTTAAAGGCAGGATTGAACAGGTACACTCCTTTAAACATTTTGGCTTGGTATTTCATGAAAGTGAATCCTAGAAAACCTATCACGAATATATTAAGGAAGTGGCATCAAAATCTACAAAGGCTATTATAAGTTGTTCTTTATTCCCAAGGAGGTGAGCTGATACATCCAGCTCTAAAGCTTTTTGAAGCTAAAACCCTAGCTTAAATACTCTTTGCAGCTCAGGTGGGCCTATATATGAAGACAATACAAACTAAGTTTTTAAGGTTTTTGTTTGCCACACCATGGGGTATCCCCAAGACAGTATCAGGCTTGAGTCTGGAATGCTCAACATGGAACACAGGGCATGAAGATGATTGGTGACATACTGGTAAAAAAAAATCAGTTTTTTTTCTTACAGGGTTGCTACTGCTAATCTTAACTAACAGTTAATTTTCACTGTGAACAAAGGGAGTAGAGCAAAACTTAAGAACATCTGGAGTGCCTCTAGATTCCTTACAAACCTTGGACAATGCTCAGACCAAAAAGCTGGTGCTACAAAAGTTGAATGACATTGAATGTCAGTCCAAAGTCAGTTCACTCTCTCAAAGCCCTAGAAGCATCCTAGACATGGGGTTCTGGGAGTCTTCCTTTAGCTTGAGGAAGAGCCTTTTCAGAGCCAGGCACAACCACCTCCCATCCACATTATTTGTCAGGTATGCCAACATTCCTCTGTCTCTGCACATTTGCCCTGGTGATTCCAGGGAAATTGATACAATCCAACGTGTCCTTTTATATTGCAATTTTTATAAGGCTCTTTGAAAGGACATTGTATCTTCCCCTTTTATTAAATGCCCCTGGGAGATGATTTTTATACCCTCTTTTTACTTTGAGCCTCACATTGTGAAACCACTTATCTGATAGCCATATTTATTGTGGCAGCAGTTAAGACAAAGCAACAGTTAACATCAAATACATTCTGACAATCTTTTATCTTTTTCATTTAACTGTTTTTATTTGGTTGTCTGTACTGCTGATCTTGGGTTGTAAATAAAGAGAGGTTTATACAGATATTTAGCCTGTTGTAAAAAAAAATAATCACAGAGATTACAGCTAAACAGATGTCCATATTATTTTATCAATTCATCATGCAGACATCTCATATTTCTATATGTACCTCAAATAACTTTATAAATGTACATAAAGAATTAGATAAAGATCTATGACATCTATGGGAAGCTATTAAAAAAGGCTCCAGCTTCCTTTCTAATGCTGACTTGGTTTTGCTGCTTCCCTTTGCTTATCTGTTCCACTCACTAACTTTTCTGTTGTCTCTCACTTGTAATTCATTGTGTTCACCACCACTTTCTCAGTTCTTAGGAAAATAGGACAGAGAAAGATTTTTTGGCGATAATGTGTATGTTTATTCTCTCAAATTGGTGCATATTCTCAGTAAATCTAAAATGACTCTCCCATTAGATATACAACGTTTACTTAAAAGAAGATGGCCCTGAATTTAAGACAGGCCTCTCAAAATAGAAAGATTATCATCTTTCCTGCCTCACTATAGAGAAAAATACTATATGTTCTCCAAGAATCCTATCTTTGTCAAGGATTGCCAACTATCATTGAAAGCAATCCTAGATTTTTTTTTTTTACCAGATATGTGTACATGACACTCTTGTATATGTACGTGTATGTATGTACTGGCCAGAGGTCACAAAACGGCAGCCAGGACAAAAAAAAAAAAAGAATAACTATTTAACTAAAGTTAATTGCTTGTAAAATAAGGCATCCTTTTTGATTCTCCCATCAATGCATAAAAACTATTGTCTTATATACAGACAATTATCTCAAACACATATACATTCATACGCTCACATAGAAAGAATTTGTTTGTGGAAAACTGAGTTAGCAAGAATAACCTATGCATGTTGATAGTAAACCGCACTGAATTCAGTGGTGGTTACCCATACATTAGTTTGGATCCTTCCCTATTAACATAGTCTTAGTGAATGAACCCCTCATGTATAGAGATAACTATTTTGAAAAAAAAAAAATCTTCCCAAGTGGTTAAATGTAAAGAAGTATTTTAGGTAACAGTACTGTATTAAACTAATACAGCCTTCCCCAGCCTAAATGTCCTTCAGATGTTTGGATTTCAACTCCAAGAATGTTTACCATTGTACAGTGGTACCTCGGTTCATGAACTTAATTCGTTCCACGATTCTGGTT